GTTTGAGGATAGAAAAGGGAGAGCAATCTTGGCTGCTACCTCCAGGTAACACCAATTGGCAGCCTGCTATGCAGATTTAGAATGTAATATATGTGTCTGCATAATAGTGAGGTGATAAACACTGATCAGCCACAACATTAAAACCACCGGCCCAATATCATGTAGGTCCCCCCTGTGCTGCCAAAACAGCTCTAATGCATCGAGGCATGAACTCCACAAGATCTCTGAATATGTCCTGTGGTATCTGGCACCAAGCAGTGGCAACGCTAGGGGGGGCCAGAGGGGGCCATGGCCCCCCTAGATCAGGCCATGCCCCCCGCTTGTGCCCACCCAATTTAAAATAAAGTTATGGCTCGCTGCCGCGCTGCACACACTGACTGCCTGCCCTTGTCATATAACAAAATAACGTGCAGCCGGTGCCAAGAGGGAGCACTGCTTTAAACATCATGGAACTGACAGCCGAGAGGTGAGAGTCTCACCTCGCGGCTGTCAGTTCCCTGATGATTTTAGTTGTTTTGGCTGAGTGCTTGCTGGGCGGCGCCAGTATACCTTACATCATAGGCAGACCTCAGATCATAGAGAGGTAGAGGGAGCGGAGCGGGAGCGCACATTGCGAAGCGGCCACACCATTAGACTGAACTGATCAACTGAAGAGCGTATGCAGAGACTCAGAGAGCAGAGCAAGCAAGAACAGCGAGGAGAAGAGCAAGCAAAGGGGGAGCAAGGCAAGCAAAGAGGAGCAGAGCATATATGGGGGAGCTGAGCAAATAAGGGGGGCTGGGCAAGTAGAGGGGAGCAGAGAGCAGAGCAAGTAAGGGGGAGCAGAGCAAGTAGAGGGGCAGAGTGCAGAGCTAGTAAGGGGGTGCAGAGCAAGTAGAGGGGCAGAGTGCAGAGCTAGTAAGGGGGTGCAGAGGGCAGAGCAAGTGAGGGGGAGCATGGCAAGTAAGGGGGTGCAGACAGCAGAGCAAGTAAGGGGGAGCACGGCAAGTAAGGGGGAGCAGTACAATTAAGGGGTGGCTGAGCACAAAGAGGGGAACAGAGAGCAGAGCAAGTAAGGGGGAGCAGGGCAAGTAGAGGGGAGCAGAGAGCAGAGCAAGTAAGGGGAGCAGAGCAAGAAGCAGAGAGCAGAGCAAGTGAGGGGAGCATGGCAAGTAAGGCAGAGAGCAGAGCAAGTAAGGGGGAGCAGGGCAAGTAAGGGGTGCAGAGAGCAGAGCAAGTAGAGGGGAGCAGAGCAAGTAAGGGGGAGCAGAGCAAATAGAGGGGCAGAGTGCAGAGCTAGTAAGGGGGAGCAGAGCAAGTAAGGGGGTGCAGAGAGCAGAGCAAGTAAGGGGGAGCATGGCAAGTAAGGGGGTGCAGAGAGCAGAGCAAGTAAGGGGAAGCAGAGCAAGTAGAGGGGAGCAGAGAGCAGAGCAAGTAAGGGGGAGCAGAACAAGTAAGGGGTGGCTGAGCACGAAGAGGGGAGCAGAGAGCAGAGCAAGTAAGGAAGACCAGAGCAAGTAGAGGTGAGCTGAGCAAGTAAGGGGGAGCAGAGCAAGTAGAGGGGAGCAGAGAGCAGAGCAAGTAAGAGGGAGGAGAGCAAGTAGAGGGGAGCAGAGAGCAGATCAAGTAACTTGAAGTAAGGGGGAGCAGAGCAAGCAGGCAGAGAGGAGCCTTACTTACCGGAGACTGTAGACAGTTTACAGTGCAGCCACACATAAGGTGTGAAACCTTACCTACCTGAGAGCGCAGTTTGCAGAGAGAGTGAGTGGAGCTGACAGTGCGGCTACACCTTACCTACCTGAGAGCGCAGTTTGCAGAGGGAGCGAGCGAGAGAAGACTCCAGACAGTGGCATTACTACTGCAGGGCCGGACTGGGAATGAAAAGCAGCCCTGAAAAAAAATTCCATACCAGCCCCGTAATGCATCGCGCCAGCATAGTGCGCAGATATGGAAGCGGGAAAAAAACTGAAAACCATCACTCAAACATGAAAGAAAGCACTTATAGGGCTTCAAAATAAGGCAGAGCAGATTTATTGTAAGCAGACGTGCATTTGCATATAATCCATGTTTCAGTCCAACTACCTTGATATATTAAGAAATGTTTGGTCATTTGGATTGAAATTGTAAATGTATGCTATTGCACAGCAGTTAAAAAAATTATGTTATCTTGCTCATTTTGAAGTAACAAGTGTGCGCTTCACTTTGGCCGACAACTGGATGATCTCCCGTAGGAAAGCATTGGGAGGCTATTGCGCATGTGTGGCAAAACGCTGTGCTTCACTGCACCAATCAGCATCTCCTCATAGAGATACATTGCATCATTGCATCTCTACGGGGAGCGTTCAGGACCTCCATGCAGAGAGTGTAGATGCTCAACATAGGTGTTGCACACTGTGCAGCACTGGACTAGAAAACATCTCTAGTGGCCGTCTGAGTGACTGTCACTAGAGATGTGCCTAGGCAGCAATGTAAACACTGCCTTTTCTATGAAAAGGTAGCATTTACAGTGCTCAGCCTACAGGGACAAGCTATAGACACCATAACCAATACATTAAACTGTAGTAGTTCTGGTGACCATAGTGTCCCTTTAATATCACGTCTTTCTCTCACCAGCCGACTTTGAGTTACAGGGAGAGCAGGAGACACAAGTGAAGTTTGTTTGTCTTTCTCCCCCAATCCCCTTTCACGTGTCTCTCAGACCCAGACCCTTTGTCTCTTTCCCAGGCCCCAGCACCTCTATTTGTATCTTTATCCACAGCTCCTCTGTGTGTCTCATTCTCTCCTTCCCCAATCCCTCTGTGTGTCTCTTGTTCGTCTTCCTCAGCTCCTCTGTGTGTTTCCTGTTCCCCTTTCCCAATCCGTCTGTCTCTTTCCCATACACCTCCGTCTTTTTTACTCCCCAGCCCTTCCATGTGTCTCATTACCTCACCAGGGCCGTCTATAATATGATTAGGACCCTGGGCAATGCATTTTCTTGGGCCCCATGGGCCCTGTCCCTGCCACTGCCTCACCCCCAATTACGTCCAACCCGCAATCACACTGACAGACGTACTGGCACATACACACACAGACAGACATTAAAACATTCACAGATACATACTGACACACAAAGTCACTACACACAAATATATACTGGCAGACATACTGACACACACACACAGACATACATACACAGACACATACATTAACAGATATACTGACACACACACAAACACATACACTGACAGATATACTAAAACACACAGATACATACACTGACAGACACATTGACACACACACAGGCATACTGACATACACACACACACACACACACACAGGCATACTGACATATACACAGACAGACGTAATGGCTGATACAGACAGACATTAAACATTCACAGATATATACTGACACACACATACACTGACATACAAATATATCCTGGCAGACAAACTGACACACACACACACACACACACACACACAGACATACATACATACACACACAGACACATACACTGACAGACATACTGACTGACACACACATACACACACAGACATACTTACATACACACACAGACATACTGACACACAAAGACATGCTGACACACAAAGACATGCTGACACACACACACAGACAGACTGGCACATACACACAGACAGACATTAAAACATTCACAGATACATACTGACACACACATACACTGACACACAAATATATCCTGGCAGACATACTGACACACACGTACACACACACACACACACAGACATACCTACATACACACACACAGACATACTGGCATACACACAGACATACTGACACACACACACATACACAGACATACTGGCATACACACACAGGCATACTGGCATACACACAGACATACTGACACACACACACATACACAGACATACTGGCATACACACACAGACATACTGGCATACACACAGACATACTGACACACACACACACACACATACACACACAGACATACTGACACACACAGACATACTGGCATACACACACAGACATACTGGCATACACACAGACATACTGACACACACACACACAGAGACATACTGGCATACACACAGACATACTGGCATACACACAGACATACTGGCACACACACACACACAGACATACACACACAGACATACTGGCATACACACACAGACATACTGGCATACACACAGACATACACACACACACAGACCTACTGACATACATTTAGCCACCCTCCAGGTTCTTACCTTTTCCTGGAGGGTGGTTTCCCTGGTCCAGTGGCAGGCTGAGGCAGATGGGAGTTCTCCTCTGGAACTCCCCTCCTCCCTGCCTTCCTCCTCCCGCGCGGCTATCTCCGGTGGGAGGAAGTGATGTCACTTCCTCCCAGCCGGCTGCAGAACCGGAAGAGGGGCCCGGTCACGCTGTTTAAGTGCCACAGCGCCCGACCGGGCCCCTGCTGACACATGCTCCCCGGGTGGCCCTTAGTGCATGGGCCACCCAGGGAGCCTCCTCAGTGTGCGGGAGCCGCACCGCAGGGGCTGCGCAAATCGCGGGGCCCACAGAGCAGCTGCTCTGGGCCCCCAGGAGCAACTGGGCCCGGGGCAGCTGCCCCGTTTGCCCCACATTAAAGACGGCCCTGTACCTCACAGCCCTCCATGTGTCTCAGTAGCCCCCACATAGAAACATAGAAACATAGAATTTGACGGCAGATAAGAACCATTCGGCCCATCTAGTCTGCCCATTTTTTAAATTTTTTTTACCCCCTGTCCCATAGTGATCCTTACCACCCCCTTCCCCATCCCAGAGAGAGAGTGTGAGTGTGTGCCTTCGCTTCCCAGTGTGTCTCCTGGTAGCGTGGCTGAGCGGAGCAGTGCACACTGTGGTACAGGAGATTCCGTCTCTATTATATAAATAATAATGGATGCCAGAATGCCCTGTTAGAAGCTTCTTTTATTCTTAGTTAAAGGGAAAAAAAACGTTTTTTTTCTTTATTCTACATAAACTGCAAATTTCAATAGAACTTGACAATTTTATAAATTAATCTTGTGATACCCCTTGGTTTTCAAGCAGATAACTTGTCCTGCTTCTTAATAGTTTGATTAGCTCAGTGTGCTAAATTCAATAGCCAGGCAATTGCCCAGAAGAGCACCTGCTTTGCAAAAACTTCTCATTGGCCTGCATTGAGAAATCTGCAATTATACAGCTACAGCAAGCCTGTCCTGGGCTAGAATAGTAAAGCAGATTGGTACAAAACAGAAAACTGGAATAACATTTCTTTCATGAGATAAAAAGTCTACATTTCCTAGAATTTGTAAGGGCAGAGCACTACATTCTGTGTTATAACTGGGGACACGCATTATCATTGGTGGAACCTCCAGCTGGTAAATGAGCTGCATACGTCCCAAGTCTCTCAACACTTTCCAGATCGTCAAGCGAGCCTTAGACTTCAGTGACCTGACAAGACCTCTTTCTCTCAGTATAAATTCCTCTGTCTCCTTATTCAAATAAGATCTTCCAAATACGCCATCAATGCCTGGTAAGTAAATGTTGGCACCAAAATCAATGAGAAGTTTTACAAAAGCTGTCTTACAGTGATGTAGAAGACAGAATTCTATAACAGTACTGGACTGCTTCATGAATTTATTGTCCATACAGTTATAATCTGGGTCAGCCCCATATAAAAGAAGAGTTCTAAAACACTCCAAGTGCTCATACAGAGCTGAAAGGTACAACGGTCCAGTGGAGACTGCTTTTGGACTATTGCAGATGGAGATCTTTGTCCTGACATTGGCTGCTGCCCTATATTCCAAGAGATTTTTCAGAATGCAGTTTTTTCCATCCCGAGATGCCATTAAAACAGGAGTGCTATTATTATAGTGACTCCCACTAGGGTTGGCACCAGCCTTCAGTAACCCTTCAACACAGTCAAAATGGCCAGCATGCACTGCAGAAAAGAGAGGTGTTTGGGCCTTTGCATCAAGGCTGTCCACTTCAGCTCCATTAGCCAAGAGGATCCGAAGACACTGTAAAGAGCCCAAAGATGCAGCCAGATGTAGAGGAGTCACTGAATTACCCCATCCACACCGACTGTTATCGATTTTTTTGTATAAATCTTGTGACAGCAATTCGTTCAAATATTGTGATTTGTCTATTGCCACTGCAGCATATAGTTCATGGCCTTCTGCATGGTCATCTTCATATCGCTTGAGGTTTAGCATGGTGAATCTTCTATTTACACTGTGCTACAGGTTACCAGTTAAAAAGGAGACTTACATTTCTTCTTCTACCCTCCATTCCTCCGGACTAGGCCCCGTGCCTGCGAGTTATCGTGCTCTGCCCCAGCCCCGCTCCGCACACTGATACTCCTGTACCACGCGGCCTCTACCTGACCACCCCCCCCAGCCACCGTGTGACTGACAACGCAACCAACCAATCAGCAAGCAGCCCCATTAGCCGCCCAGCCCTTCATGTGCCCTATTAGCCCTCTTTCCCAGTCCTCCATGTGTCCCTATAGCTCTCCCAGCCCTCCATGTGTCCCTATGCCCCCTCCCAACCTTCCGTGTGTCTAGGGGGACCAGATTTTGAAAATATAAAAATGGGACACCCATTAGCGATACAAAAATCGCTAAAAAAAACAACCCAAAATAGATAAATAAATAAGTCTTTAATCTCTTCTTGGCCAGAAGTGGCTGTTACAGCTCATCCCCTTCCTGGTACTCAAATGAGTGTCTTTTCATTTACATTTTGTAGGAGCATGATCATCAGAGCACACACATACCCTAGACCAGGGCCATCGTAACAGCATAATAGTCCACTGAGCAAACCAATGCACTGGGGCCCTGACTATGCAACCACTCAAAGAAATAAAAATATAAATTATCAATAAAATGAGGCTTATATTTATTGGTACCTCCAACAAATACAATACTTACACACACAGACAGACTGCTGACTACACACAAACCGCAAAAAACACACACAGACTGCTGAATACACACATATAGAGACTGCTGAATATATACACAGACTGGTGATTACACACATATAGAGACTGCGGAATATACACACGGACTGGTGATTACACGCACACAGACTGGTGAACGCGCACAGACTGGTGAACGCGCACAGACTGGTGAATACACGCACACACACAGACTGCAGTGAGGGGTGCAGTGTGTGTGTTCAGTGTGTGTAGGGGTTCAGTGTGTGGGGAGTGTAGTGTGTGTAGGGGTTCTGTTTGTGGGGGGTGCGGTGTGTATTTGGAGGGGGTGCAGTGTGTGTGTGCTGTGTGTGGAGAGAGTGCCGTTTGTGTGTGTGGAGAGAGTGCCGTTTGTGTGTGGAGGGGTGCTGTGTGCGTGAAGGGGTTTTGTGTGCGTGAAGGGGTTTTGTGTGCGTGGAGGGGTTCTGTGTGTGTGAAGGGGTTCTGTGTGCGTGGAGGGGTTCTGTGTGCGTGAAGGGGTTCTGTGTGCCTGGAGGGGTTCTGTGTGCGTGGAGGTGCTATTTATGTGTGGAGGGGTGCTGTCGGGGGGGGGGGTGTATGGGGGTTATAGCATTGATATATATTTTTTTTTAAAAAAAGCTTTATATTACCCCCCTAACCTTTGGTCAGGGGAGAGGGGGGACGGCTACTCTTCAATCCCTGGTGGTCCAATGGTGGCGCATGCTGTTCAGCCTGCAGCTCCTCTGGCTGCAGGCTGACTTCGCTCTCCTCCCGCGAGAACAGCAGGCAGGTCGGAGCGTTGCCATGGTAACGCATGGCAACGCTCCAACCTGCCTGCTCGCGGGAGGAGCGTTCTCGCTTCCTTCTACCTGTCAGACCGCGGTCTGTCTGCTCGGCCACGCTACATTCTGTGACCGGCAGGAGGGGAGCGCATCCCATCCTGCCGGTCACCCTGTAATTGCGGCCCGGGCTGGTGCACACAGGGCGGCCGCGCATCGGCCCCCTAGTGTGCTGGCCCACCGGGAAATTTCCCAGTATCCCAGTCCGGCCCTGTACTACTGTAAGTAATGTGAACTTTAATTGAAGCTTTTGAGTAAATTATATGTACCCAGGATTACATATTGTGCGTATAACAATGAAACAAGTAATTTTTGTTTTAATTTGTGTTGGTAATGGATTCACCAACTTTTATACAGGTCATAGGCAGGTCAGGGCACACATTTAAGTTTAATGAAATGTTTTGGTGTGTAAATCATGCCCCCCGCAGTTGGTGTGTAAATCATGCCCCCCGCAGGTATTTCTGATTTGGAACTGTTCACACCAATAAGGAAAATGGCTGCTATCCCATTATCCTAACAAAGAAAATGGTTGCTATGTAAGCTGCAATAGGCTGCCATGAGAATGTAGAATTCATTATATGCAGTCTGCTATGACAATATAAAACACATTTCTTCATTTTATTAATGTTATTAATTCATCCATGAAGAGATAAGTTTTATATTGTCATGGTAGACTGCATATAATGAATTTTACATTCTCATGGCAGCCTATTGCAGCTTACACAGCAGCCATTTTCTTTGTTAGGATAATGGGATAGCAGCCATTTTCTTTATTGGTGTGAACAGTTCCAAACTAGAAATACCTGGGTTATTGAATAATGACAGGTTAAAATCAACAGGCTCAATTATGTTTTTTTATAATAATGACCATCATCCATGCGTACGTGTGGATAAGATCGCGCTCACGCACCCACTATTTTAGACTTAAAAACAGGCAACATAAATATGAATAGACATACAAAAATGCACCAAAGTACATTCTATCGTGTTTTCCAATTCACTTAACAGATGTGTATAAATTATGAAATGAGTGCATTATGAATGGGCATATAAATCCCGGGGAATATAAAAAGGGGGAAAAATATGAAAAAAATATATGAAAAATTATTTATAAACTTCTAAGTATACAACCCTAAAAAAATGAAAAAATATATACATATGACATCTATATATAATATAAAACATCCCAGGAAATGTCCGGTAACAATCCATCCATATGTAGTAAAACAGATCTATAGACAAAAATTAGACAAAAGAGAAAGGAATTAAATGAATCCAGCCAAGTCTATATCCATATTCAGACTTGACTTAAGAGTTTTTAAATTAAAAATCCATTGAGCTTCTTTTTTTTAGCCAGATATGTTGCCTCCTCTCCAATTTATTGGCATCTGGTCTATTCCTATGGTCATAAAATTATGCCACTGAAAAGATGGACATGCATTACAGTGTCTAGGTACACTGTGGTCAATTTTCTTTTTTCGTATATTGTTTAAATGTTCCCATATTCTAACGTGTAGCTTGCATGTTGTTCTGCCCACATATTGAGCTCCACGGCCACATTGCAACATATAAACTACGTAAGAAGAGGAACATTGTATAAACCTCTTGATTTTAAATTTTTGTAACACTTTTTTGGTGCATGCATCTCCTTTGCTGTTAGAGCCTGATGTTGTCATACTTTGGATCTAATTTTTTTCTATCTTGAAGTAAACTTGGAGCTAATTTGCTTTTGAGATTATCTGTTTTTTTAAAAAGCATAACTGGACGATCAGGGATGATTTTGCCTAAAATTTCATCCTTTTGAAGAATGTGCCAGTGTTTTTTTTTAGCACTTTTTCAATCTTTTTTGCATGAACGTTATATTGGGTCACAAAGGCATATTCAAATCTATTCTGCCTGACTAGATTTCTCTTTTTATTTTTATTCTCTATAAGAAGTTCTGATCTATGTAAATTCCTTACCAATACTTTATCCCTCTCCATTCTTTTATGATCATAGCCCTTGTTCAAATATCTAGTTCTTATTATCTTCAATTGTTCATCAAACACTCTTAGGTCAAAACAGTTTCTCCTGATTCTTGTAATTTGTCCCTTTGGGACATTTTCTAACCATAAAGGTTGATGTAAGCTCTTGCTGTCAATAGCTGTATTACAATCAGTCGGTTTAAAGAAGGTTTTCGTGTGTAATTGACCTTCCCCCACATACAAATTCAGATCAAGAAAATCAATCTGTGTTTCGTGTATGGAAGAGATGAAATGAAGATTATAATCATTATGGTTAATATAGTTAATAAAGGAGGACAGACTTTCTGATGAACATTCCCACACTATCAAAACGTCATCTATGTAGCGTCGCTACAGGACGAGACTGCCCCCGAGACAAGGGCCCAAATTAGATAGAGAGATAGATAGATAGATAGACAGATAGATAGACAGACAGACAGATAGAGAGATAGATAGATACTATTTTTAAGTTCCACCTTTTGACATCCTTACACAATACAAAAGCACATACATTTACAGTTTTTACTTTATCTCACATTATTTGATTGTGTTGAAATATTAGTGAAATTCCAATTTATATTTAAGTTTTTATAGAGATTCTTTCATAATAAAATGTGAAAATATGAGACAGAATAGCCAGTGCAGTTGAAGCAATCACCGTGAAAACCAATGGATTACTTTCTTGGAATGTTCCACTTTTCGTTCTTTGCCTGGAAGTTGGGACATTGGTGGCACTGGGAGCAATATACTGTGCCGAAGTCAATACAAAAACTCATTCTCCGTAGGTTTGATCAGGAGAAACTCAGCAACATTCTGATCCAGGGCACCATTGACTTCGACCCTTTAACTTCAGTAAAATCAAAATGGCCTGATTTGTAACTAATGCAAGTCACTCAAACACCAGGATGCAGAAATATAGACTCATGTGTACTGAACTATTAGTGTACTATTAGAAGCCAGGGTATAATAATAAGTAATCTATTAAAAACAGAAACATTCCCCTCTCTCCTTTCCCGTCTATTTTTCTTTCTTCCTCCCTATGCTTTCTTCAAGGACGGATCTGGATCCTAAACTCAGGAGAGGTGCAGATTCTAATAGGTGGACACAAACATTCACACAGACTTGGACAACATTTTTAAAAACATTTGCAGACATTTAGAGAGAAAGAGGCCCTCAATTTCCCAGGCTTTTCATTTGGATCATTTGCTTTTGTGCCCTCCTGATGTATCCCCCATTATTAGAAAGAAAACAAAACTACAACGTATAGACAGAATTAGGAGAGGATTGCTATTATATAAAAATTAAAAACAAAACAAAAAAAACCCTCCAAAACACATGGCAGTTTTAAGTCAATGCTGTCTGGACAAGAGAGAAAGTACAGTTTATTTTTGAAACTTCCCAAAAAATTAGAATAGCCAGTTATGTCACATTTGCAACTACAAATTTATTGTCATCTTTAAATATATACAATGGATATATTTACCTGTAAATAAAAAAAAATGTGAAAAAGAAACGTTGAATTTTTTTCTATAAAGTTCTATACATTCCTAAAAT